GCATTTATATTTATATTTTGCATTTATATTTTAAATTGTTAAATTATTACATGATATGTTGTTACCGGCCCAGATATGACTAGATGGGCGGGCTCTAAATGTAATAAATAAATAAATCCCTTATGAGATCGCAGTGAGATACAGACCCTCACAACTAGCCAATGAACCTTTTCCTTCCTAACAATGTGTCTTTCACCTGAGTCTGTATGGATTGTATTGAATCTCTGAAAAATCCATGTTTCTAAGACAGGGATGGGCAAAAAGAAAAAGACAGCTCCTCCCACAACAATTTTTGAGCCTTCTAGGCTTCCTGCTTTTCTCATGCTGAATTTATTTAAGCAAAAAATCAAGGGCTGGGGATTAAGCATTCAACTGGATGTAATTCCCAGTCCTTCAAAATCAAAAGCAGAAGTGGACATTGGGTATAAGATAGGTACATGTCAGGGCTCCTTTGTACAAAATTGTGCATTGCTCTGTTGCAATAAGAGGGAAAGTGAAATTTTAAATGGGGGGAAATGACAGAAGGAGAAATGATTATTTTCTTTCCTAATGCTAGAATCCTGTAGAAATTTGCACCCCTGGACAGCTGCTATTGCGATTTTTAAACTATTTTAAGATCTTATTACAGATAACCTGAATCATGTTTAGTCTGGTCCTAAACAAAGTGCCTCAGTTTATGGCACCTAATGGCCTGTAATTCCCTAATTAAAGAGGTAGATTTGAATCCTGGAGGTAGATTTGAAGCCAAGACTTCCCTGAATTATCACTTTCTGCTACTTGAACACCCACGTAGGAGCCACTGCAAAGCAGAACATCCAACTCAAGAAGTTTCTTCCACAGGATACTGTGATAGATGCTGCTAAAATCAGCAGTGGGCACTAAATGCTTGTGTGGTAGCCCCTCTAAATGTAGCATTTAGATGGCCTGGAAAAACTGCTAAACCTTGAGAACATATGCTGATCCAAACTCCTCATGGTTTTCCCCGCCCCCCTGATACATGTTTTGAGATCTTTCTTTCTCTTACTTCCTACAAACAGATGGTCACTGTGCAGAATTAGTTCCAACCTTTCTCTGATTTGTGTGTGTGTGCATGTGTGCGTGTGTGTCTTTACGCACACATGCTCCTCTTGCCGCCTCCACAATACCTTAGAATAGCAGTATATAGGGGGCATTGTGGAGGAAGCAAAATGGTATGCTGGCTCTCAAGACAGTCGTTGCTCAGACCTACAATGTCAGGGAAGAAAAGAAAATCTTTTGGGAGCAAAGAACAAAGTAGTGGTGGAACTGGGGAGCATCACCTCTGAGAAGTTGTTGGAGAAATCCTCCTTCCCCTCATGGAAGTGAGAAATTAGGACAAATTGTTCCTCCAGTTTCTCTGTCCACAAATAGGGTGTGGAACTTCAGTAAACTATTTGTGCACAGCCGCATCTCCAATTGCTATCTGATTGGTTTGAAACCAGTATAATTTACAGTAGCCATTCTCAGTGGGGGACATATAGCCCGCTGGGGGTCCCTGGCACATTTGAAGGGAGCCACGGACTGGAAACTATGTTTCACACACTACCTTTTAAGGTTTGTTATGTGTCTTATACAATCCTGATTTGCCTGTATTTCTTTCATGTTGTGTTGATAGTCGTGGCCAAAGGTTGAGAAGTCAGCATTCAGATGCAAAGTGGGATTCTGATCTATTTAAAAGGTGAAATGCTATTTCTGTATACTTTCAGGAGTTGCAATTAACCCTTTTTTTCAGACAAACATATGGTGGGTGATGGCTAGGAGCCACAAAAAAAGTCTAGAGGCTACATGCGTTTTCAGAGCAACACAACACCATTCCCTGTACTTTACCATCACTAAACTTAAAAGCTCCAGCAGTGCTATTTTGTGAAAAACTATTTTGTAGGGGGAAAATCTTGCACTTTGCAAGAGGAAAAGAGAATGTATTTTATGCGAAGTGTAAGGTTTCTAATACAAAGTGCAAGGGTTTAGTGTGTGCGTGTGCATACACACACACAACTGGATTGTGGTCCTTTTTTATTTTCATGGTGGAAAAAAAATGTACTACAAAGGTTGTCCATTATTTCGAAGGGATACCTTGATGTGTTGATACGCCATTTTTAATTGTGGAAGAAAGGATGTAAGTATTTGTTAAATCCTTGGTGTGTCATGAGAGGGCTAGGCAAGTTCTCACATCATCCAAAGCCTCCAACAACATTCACGTCATGCAGTTACTCAAGTCCTGGAAGTTAGCATGAATCCCGCCCCCAGGTTACAGTAGTGTATATGAAAGCACATACACACGCCAAGAGGATAAAGGATGCTCCTTATCCTTAGTTTCTTCCCTGCTAAAATGTACCCACAGAGGGATCAAGATATGATTTTCAGCCTTGGGTAACCCAAGTGTTCGTGGACTGCAGTTCTCAGAAGCCTTCACCACCAGCTATGCTGGCCAGGGTTTCTGAGGGTTTCAGTGCAAGAACATCTGGGTTACCCAAAGCTGGGAACCACTTCATTACAGGCTCTCCAGTTTGAAGCATTCTGAGTTGGGAGGTAGAATTGGCATCTCCATATTACATCAGAAACAAAGCTTTTACTCTGACATTGGGTCAAATCTGCTATATTCCTGCTCTAGAGCAATAGTGGCAGATGCCAAAGTCATAGGATATATTTTTTTTGCCTTCACTTCTTCTTAGGAACTTACAAATAAAACTCATGCACAGTATGTTTTGCCATATGTCAGTTTCTGTTTATGATGCCTTTTAAACGTTTTTAAAGTATTATCTGGATCATGCATTCCACCCAGAGATGTGCTGCCTCATCCATTGCAGCATGCTTTTGAACAAACCCATTAGATAAGCAGCTTGGATGTAGTAAACATAGCAAAAGAACTGACAGGCTATTATTTTGTAGTAGACATGGCTTTAGAAAAGCATTCCAAGGTGTCCTCTGTTTTAACAACAAAGAGTCAGAGATGTACTCATGCAGAGCTCAATATATCATATGCATATATCTATGCATATTCCTATACAGATATACATATACAAAAGAGAGATAGAATGAACCAGATACTTGAATTTGGGTGAGGGGCAGAAATAATTTAAATAGCAGCACAAGTGGTATATCATTCAGTGTTAGAAATAGCTTCCAAAGAATAAGGAAAGCACTTTGTGGTTTATCATAGAACTGTAGTATCGTGGGCCACAATCTTATTGGGAATTTATCCCAGTTTAAATTTAATTGTGTAAATAATGGCAGCAAATTGCCACTAATTAATGAGTTGTAGTTTTAGAGTACTAGCCACATGTTTAGTCACATAGCTGGCACGCAATCAGGAATGAAAGCAGCAACTCATTAGTTACTGGTAATTTGCTGCTGAGATTAATGCAATTACACTTACACTTGCATAAATCCCAGTAGCAGTATGACTATGGTCTTTTACCTTCACCTAAATGAATCAGAGCAGAAAATGTATATTCCTTATAGCAAAAGTGATTATGTGTGAAATAGAAAGTGTCATTTTTAAAATGTGCAATTCTACAGTGATGTTAAAACTCAAGAAATTAATACATTTCTAGCAACTAAGAATGATGTTATGATTTTTAAATAATTGTTTAAATTCTGTATTTGTATACAGTGGTGCCTCGCTTAACGGGCGCCCCGTTTAACAATCAAATCGCATAGCGATTAACTTTTTGTGATCGTTTTGCGATGTTCCCTATGGGTGAAAATCGCTTTGCGATGAGCGGTACCCTGTTTCGCTTACCGATCATTGCAACGCGATGGTTTTTTAACAGCTGAGCGGCGGTTCCAAAATGGCCACCGGGTAAAAAAAATGGCCGCCCACTGTTTTCTGGGGTGGATTCCTTGCTTACCGGGCAGCGAAAATGGGCACCGTATGGAGGATTTTCGCTTAAAGATGAGTCTGAAGCCCATAGGAACACATTGAAGGGGTTTCAATGCATTCCTATGGGCTTTTTAATATCGCATAGCGACAACATTGCTTCGCACCGATTTTTGCTGCACCGATTATCGTCGCTATGCGAGGCACCACTGTATATTCAAAGCGAACAGTCTGTTCTATGTACAGATTGATTGTGATGACTAACTAAATTTCCATTGACATAAACTGAAGTTAAATTCAATTGCCGTTCTGTTGATTGGGCCATTTTATTCCGATGCTGATTAAATGCAACATTTCCTAAAACCTACGGTATATTGTAACGTCGAGTGCAATCCTACAGGTGTTTATATAAATGTAAATCTGAACATATCAATGGTACAAAGCCCCCCCCCCAAAATAGAATAAGAATTTAATTCTTACCACAGGAATAGTTTCAAGGCTTGAAGACCAAGTCTGTTCTTTAAAATGTTTTGAACAATGTATTCCAAAGCTGATAAAATTTGTGTGTAGTTTTGCTTAGGTGACAATGGTCTACCAATTCTTATCAATCCTTTCTTGCCCTATAGGTCCAATTTCAATGCCATCCTTTGCCACCAACATGTTTTTGCTACTTTCCTGTTTGACTCTATAGCAGAGACATCAAAGCAACAGTTCAGCTACACCTTCAACCTTCTGAACCAGTGTACTTACTTGATTTGCTCATTCCATCCCCACTCATTTCCCATCTTTTCAGAGAAATGTAGCCCTTGGCAACTTGTCTGGCTGTATACAAAAAAAGTATTTATTCGTGGTAAATTTTCCTCTTTTGTTTCATATGGATAGCTGTTTAGATCAGTGGTCCCCAACCTTGGGCCTCCAGATGTTCTTGGACTACAACTCCCAGAAGCTTTCACCACCACTTCTGCTGGCCAGGATTTCTGGGAGTTGAAGTCCAAGAACATCTGGAGGCCCAAGGTTGAGGACCACTGGTTTAGATGGAGGTGGTAGGGAATCTGACTTTTGATGAAAAGGAAATAAATACTATTCCATTATCCATTGGGTTAGCAGTTACCACTGCTATGATTTTACCGATATTACAGTCAGTCTCTTTGATTAATTTCAGAACGCATTCAGAAAATGATAGTACCTCCTCTCTCCCACATGTTGACTCCTGCACCAGTCCTACAAAAATGGATTTGGCATATAGTAAGACTGCCAAACAGTGCCTAGAGGAAATATCTGGTAAGTAATGTGAAAACACGTTGTTGTTGTTTTATATTTGAATTTTTCTGAAGCAAGTTTGTCGTATATTGTGGAACAGGAACATTTACACATACTCTGAATATTTTGCAGAATCATGATTTCATCTGAGTGGGTAGTCCCTGCATTAATGCAGAATGCAAATGTTTCACATTGTCATAGTTGCTGTGGCCGACATTAGGCTTATGAGTTGCAATGCCAGTTCAAGGCTTCAGGATGAATTTCAGTTTGGGATGAATCCATTTGGGCCCCATCCACTTTGATTGCTGCCACTGATCTAAACTGATTTGGAAATTTGGATTGCCAGCCTCCCATTGGCTTGCATTGGAAAATCAAAGCCAGTTGGATGTGTGTGCAACTAAGAGATATGATAGGCCCTAAAGAGGGAACTAGATCCCCTTGTTGGAGGCACCATGCTAGAGCCCTGATATACTGCTGCATTGAATAAGGCAGCAAAAGGCCAAATGTTGACCAAATATGAAAAAGAAGGGGAGGGAGGGAGAAAAAGACAAATGTTGCGGCATCTTAAAGACTAATAAATATGTTTCAATGAATGATTTGTGAGTAAAAAAAAAACTCATTTTAACAATGTTCTACAGATTTTGTGCCATTTTTAAGTCTGGAAAGTGTCACACCACCTTGTCCTTTCCTTTTTCTCCCCAACATTTTTCCTTCTAGTATGGTCAGAGTGCCAAAAGTGACTAATGTTTTCAGAAAAGACCAAATGTCGTGGTCAGTATATTTCACTAAAGGGCAAAGGCACTGAAAAGCATTTAAAAAAATGAACCATACAGAGAAAGCAAATCAGACATGTTATAAGTAGAGCCCATGGGGTAGGCAGTGGGGATCAAGTACATTTTGCTGTTTAAACGCATATAGATCCACATAAATAAACAGATCCTACCACTCAAACAAAGTAAAGTAAAGAGAGGATTAGTCAAAAGTCTATTGGAATCATGTTAGCTGGACAACAGGTAGAAGGATGGTTCATTAACCTCAGACTACCATAAATACAAATATGTTCTCAGAGGTCTTTTCTTTTGCTAACAGTGCTAATCTAGGCAAAAAAAAAAATCCCTCTAAACAAGCACTCTGTTTGGAAAGTTGTAAAATTCTTGCCTCAAATTTTTAGGCTTTTAATGACCAAAGCTATTTCTACTTCTGATCAAGCCATGTTAGAGACACATTGTCTGGCTCATTTTAGATGTCCCTGGCGCTGTGGGCTAAACCGCAGAAGCCTGTGTTGCAGGGTCAGAAGACCAAGCAGTCGTAAGATCGAATCCACGCGACGGAGTGAGCGCCCGTTGCTTGTCCCAGCTCCCGCCAACCTAGCGGTTCGAAAGCATGCAAATGCGAGTAGATAAATAGGTACCATCTCGGTGGGAAGGTAAACAGCATTCCGTGTCTAAATCACACTGGCCATGTGACCACGGAAAGATTGTCTTCGGACAAACGCTGGCTCTATGGCTTGAAGAGTGGGATGAATACCTTTACCTATTCTCTGGATCAGCCCAAAGCAAAATTATGTTTGATCAGGGTGCTTCCTGTTCTCTTGCCTCCTGTTGTGCTTACTGAGAAAGTAATAATGTATTGCTCCTTATGTGCTGTCACTTCTGACTTATGGCAGCCTTATGAATGAGAGATCACCAACACGTCCTCAACAACCCTGCTCAACCCTTGAAAACGGAGGTCTGTGGGGTTTTTTTTAGGAAGTCACTTCATCTCATATTTGGACTTCCTCTTTCTCTGCTGCCGTCAACATTTCCCAGCTTTATTGTCTTTTCCAAAGACAATTCCAAAGGGAATTTTGCCTTCTCATGATGTACCCAAAATAAGTCAGCCTCAGTTTCATCATTTTTGCCTCCAGAGATAGTTCAATCTTGATTTGCTCTAGGATCCATCTTTCTGGCAGTCCAGGATATCCACAAAACTTTCCTCCAGTACCATAATTCAAAGAAATCGTTTTTTTTCCCTGTCAGCTTTCTTAAATGTTATTTCTGATAGAATCAGAAATACAAGATTACCGATGATCTTGGTCTCTTACACTTGATGATCTGTTCAAAATCATCAATTGCTGCCCTTCTTAGGCCTAATCTTCTTCTGATTTCATGGCTGCAGTCTCCATCTGGAATGATGACTGAACGAAAGTATACAAAGTCTTTAACAGTTTCAGTTTCTTCATTGTAAACATTAAAGTTTTGTACTTATGTAGTCCTGATTTTTGTCTTCTAAAAGTTCAGCTGCAGTCTTGTTTCTGCATTTTCTTTTTTCACTTTCCTTAAAAGTTATTTCAAATCATTGCTGCTTTCTGCCAGCAAGCTGGTATCATCTGCCTACCTTAAATTATTGATGTTTCTTCCCACCAATGTTCATACCTCTTTCATCTGAATCGATTCTGGCTTTCTATATACAGATAGACTTGAATGATGGTTATATTGATAGGTTTTTCATCGAGTCTGATTGATATTAGTTGGTCATACCTGCCTGTGTTAATCTTGCCTCCATATTTATTTATTTATTTATTTTTCCTGCTTTTGCCCATCTAGATTCAGTGAATCTACTCTGGGTGGCTTACAGTCCGAGTATATAACAGAAATTAAAACAGCAATATCAACAACATAGAGATAGGCAAAGTCCAAGATGGTAAGACATAAAAACTAAGAAATGGAAGGGGGGGGGGAAGGCCTGCCTGAAGAGTTACTCCATTTTTTCTGGATTTGTAATTTCCAGAGCAGAATACTTTGCAGTTGTCTGACTGAAAATATCTTGTTCTCGTCTACTTCCATAGACTGACACTAAGCACTGCATTATTTATACATTCAATTTCTTGCTTTACAGTTTTCAATTTACCTTGATTCGTCCTTCTTGCATTCCATATTCCAAATCTATGTGTTGTGCAGCATCAGATTTTCCTATAACTGTTCTGCACATCAGCAATTAGACATCCTTTTGGCTTTGGTCTAGTTGCATCATTAGTGACAGAACTATTTGTACTTGTCACTTGCTTTTCCTCAGTAATTGATTGAATGCTTTCCAACCTGGGAGTCTCATTTTCCAGCACTGTCTCTTGTTCATTTGGGACTATTTCATCATCTGATTTTCATTGCAAGGAAAATTCAGCAAGAGATTGCCATTGCCACCTACTGTGCAGTACTAACAAAAATTAACTTGAGTGTCACCAAAATTGTCTTCTCTGGCAGTGTCATCTTCAGCTGTTTCTGCTGCCCAGGACCTGTCTTGAAGAGTGTGAATGTATCTTAGTCTGGTGTCTTAGCTGTGATCCTTCTGCCTTGGGTGACTGCTAGGAGTTCAGGCTCATAATGGAGTCTGGCCTCCTGACAGCATTGCTCTCAGTTTCATTGATATACTCAAATCCCTTTAGTATGTTAAGGTGTGCATCCAAGAAGCGGGGGTTCTTAAATACTTTCTCTTAAAATTAAATTTCTCATAATCATCCAGTTTGTATTTCAGGAGAGACTTAATAATTGGAGGAGGAGGAGGAGGAGGAGGAGGAGGATTGCATTGTTTTCTTTCAGTTTTTTATAGGGAAACACACACGAAATCAGTGCTGTTGTGTTATTTTAAAACAGAAATTGACCGTGAGGTTTTAAGGAGAGGCAGTTCAAAGTGCCATAAGGATCTTATTTACGCCTAATCTACCATGTTCCAAAGGGAGAAATTAAATGTGCAGACCATTTTAATTAGAAACACAGATGTTCTTTAAAGCCTCAACATGCCTTGCCTGTTCACAATGGATAGGATGTTGTTGTCTTTGTGTTTCACTGCACCCCCTCCCTTTATCACAAAACAAGTCTGAAGAAAACAATAGCATTGGCTGATTTTTTTTTAACTGAAGGGACAAACAGTGGCACTCCTAAGAAAAGAGCTAATGGGAGAAAAGCCACGTCTCACTTTGTAATTCATGTTATTTCTTGAACAATAATATGCATGTAATTTGCTTGCTGGAACTAGTAAAGAAATTGGTTTGCAACTAAATAGTGTCTTATATTATTAGAATCAAAGCTTCTGATAATTCTCCAGAATCTTGGCCTTTTTTACATTATGGATTCTCTGCTTCTCTGCACTGGTAGTTCTTGGTGAAGATACTAGTTTGAATGGAAATGTTTTATTTACAGAATATAACAGGGAGTAGGCTTATTTACCCAGTCTTCTCAATGGTAGCCCAATTCCTATTAACATTTTATATTGCTAGTCAAGGGCTCTTGGTAAAAAGATCCTGCTGTGGTGTAGGAAGCCAAGGGGAAAATGAGAATTGCCTCCAAGTGAAGTGGAAGCATTTATCAATCAGTAGGGTTTTCTGACCCTCTGGCTGAAATTCATAGATGTAAAACTATACTGTGCACACTTGATGACATCATCAACTGTGGCCATCTTCTTAATTTAAAAAAATCTCCTCTCCCCATTCTGTAAGGATCCTAGATGCCCTCAGGATCCCCTTTGCTCCTAGGGAAGCCTTTGGGTATAGTGGACTTCTGTGTGTGTGTGAGAGAGAGAGGGGGGGGGAAGCTTGTGGTTATACTGTATGTTACAGATAGTCCTTCATTAAAAGCTAAAAATCTATTATTCCATTTTAAACCATTACACAACACATAAAAGATAGGAAGCTGGTCAGATCATTGCCCCCTCTGGGTCAGTACTGTATTGGCAACTGATGGACAGCAATCCAGCAGGATTGTTACCAAGTGCCATCTGAAGACTTGAGAGATTTCAGTTAATGAAATCATTTGAAGTTAATGTGGTCATTTGAAGAAATGTAACACATGTTCAGAATCCTCTCCAAAACTTGTTTACACTGGTTTCCTGGTAGCTGCTCAAAATAGCTGCTCTAGCAGCTCAAAATACCCAGGTACAAAACAACTGCATCCAAAGGGACTGCACAGATGGCAGATGCTCACATGGTAGTTAGCAGAAATGATTGGGCAGGTAGACAGATGGACAGGCAGGTAAGCAAGTTGCCACTT